TGCAGCTCCCCAAACTGATGGATTGCCACTGTGGCTTTGTGTCGTATTCTTCAGCGGTATCATTTTCATAACACTTGTTTTTCTCACATATGTATATTAATTACAGAAAATTTTTAAAATACAGAAAAACACAGAGAAGAAAGTAAAAATCACCATAATACCACCACTTAAGGATAACCAGTATGAATATGTTGGAGTATATTCATTTCTTTTTTTCCTATACATATATATCCATATATTTTTTTTAAAATGGAATCATATTGGTCTTAAAGTATCATAAATGTTTTTTGCTTTTTACTTGATTGTATAATGTGACTATTTTTCCATTTTATTATTCTGCAGCATCGTTCTAATGGCTGTTAGTGTTCCATCATATGGATATATTTGAATCTACTTAACCAATCTCCTCTCATTAGATATTTAGGTTGTTTCTTGTTTTTTACTCCAAATGTATTTATATGTTTTACATATTTCCTAGACAAATTTCTAGAACTTTCATATAATATTATGAAGGCTAAAAGAATCTGTTCAGAAGTGTTATTGTCGAATACCGGTTTTGATTGTCCTTGGGTAACTCCTCAGCGGTACAGGACAATGAGAGGAGTGATATGTACATAATCGTATAATTCATATGGCTGGCAGAACCCTTAGAGATTTTCTAACAAGCTGGTCCCTTCATTTGATGGATTAGGAAACTGAGAGCCAAGGAAGGTGTTTGCCCAAGGACACCCAGCTGAACAGTAACCAGTATTTTACTAAGTGGCCATATGACAGGACAAAAGAAGAGGATATTTGGATAAAATTAAATAGAAATACAAAGAAAACCAATTAGATTGAAATTCAGTTATCAAAATAGTTTAAAGGCAAAGCTATGGTATAATAATAAGTGTACTACTTTATAGGCATTTATTAATATTATCTAGGGGTGGTCCAAGGAGCCCTGGTGGGGCAGTGGTTAAACACTTGGCTACCAACTGAAAGGTCAGCAGTTCAAACCCATCAGCCGCTCTGTGGGAGAAAGACGTGGCAGTCAGCTTCCATAAAGATTACAGCCTTAGAAACCCTATGGGGCAGTTCTACTCTGTCCTATAGGGTCCTGTGACTT